AATCAACAAAATCTTTTCAATCAGGTTGAGCAGTTTCTCGGTGACAAGACATCACGGCGTTCTACGAGTTTTCCGTATCTTTATTATTCTATCTTTATTTTCTAACGATACCTTTATTTGTAGTTAATTTAAACTAATGTAAGATAACATTTATTTTACTTATATTTGAATAAAGAAAAGATTGTAATAAAGAAAAAAAAAAGGTAATATATATATATATATATATATATATATATATATATATATATATATATATATATATATATAATGACACACTTAGTGATAGTTTAGATCATTTTTTATAAAGTAACAAACTTAATGACAGTTTACATGAATTCTTATATGATGACGCACTTAATGACAGTTTAGATGAGTTCTTATATGATGTCGCGCTTAAGGACAGTTTCGATGAGATCTTATATGATGACGCACTTATTGACAGTTAAGATGAGGTCTTACACAATGAGACATTTTATGGCAGTTTAAATGAGGTCTTATATGACGACACGCTTAAAGATAGTTTAGATGAGGTCTTATATGATGACACACTTAATCACAGTTTTGATGAGGTCTTACATGATGACACACCTAATGACAGTTTAGATGAGTTCTTATATGATGTCACACTTAATGACAGTTTAGATGAGGTCTTATATAAAAACACACTTAATGTCAGATTCAATAAGATCTTATACAATGACACACTTAAATACAGTTTAGATGAGATCTTTTATGATGATAGACTTAATGACAGTCTAAATGAGGTCTTACACGATGACACACTTAATGACAATTTAGATGAGGTCTTATATGATGACAGACTTAATGACAGGTTAGATGAGGTCTTATATGATGACACAGTCCGTAAAACAATTTTTACTGCTCTTTAAAAAACTATGCTGATAGAGATTTTCTTTTTTTGTGTCTCTACATTTGTTTTTATAAAGATTTCGAAAAAAAATTTTTTTAAATAGCCCTTATCTTTAAAGAATAATTTTTCTCTAACTTGCTCCTCTAACCTTTTTTTGGTCCATTATCTTATTATTTTATCTAAGTATTTTAAATCAATTATCTTCGTAAATACAAAAAATAATTGGCAAAGCTACTAATCCATTCATTTTTTTCCACATTTTTTTGTTTTGAGATAAAACGATTTAAAAAATAAAAACTTTAGGAGAGGGCATATAAAAAGATTTTTATTACTTAAGTTTTCTCCAAAACTTTTTTTGATTTTAACTTAGGTTTTAATATAGTAGAAAAACATTCATTTGAGATACATGACACAATCAATAAATCGATTTTTTCAAAAAGTGGAGATAGAACAAAATAATTCTCGCTTAGTGTCATTGGTATTTAGAGGTGTGTGAAACAAATGAATATCCCTTTTTGAGGAAATTGTTTAAATATCAAAATAATTCCATACAACCTCATTCCAACTTTTTAATTAAAAACTTGTTAATGTCCCAGCACAGTGGTCCAGGGGATGTCCGGACAATAACGCGAAATGCGTCGTCCGGGGGTATGTCCGTCTAACGACTAACGGACGTCTGGACACCCTTTAGTCGTCTAGCATATGTTCCCCGGTCAACGCGTTCCCACTAAGAGTGGGTAGGCGTTGTCCAGGGGTTGTCCGTCAGACGTCTTACGGAGGTCTAGAGGTCCAGGAGACGTCTTACGGACGTACTCCGGACGAAGCGTGCTTATTAAGGGAGCTTTATTTTACGCCTGATGATAGACTAAACTCATCAGGCAGAATAATAGATAAAAAATTTATTCAATATAAAAAAGTAGTTGAACTTAGCTGTGTTTTATGAGTTCATGCCCTTTTAAAGGTATTTTAAAAAAAGTAATAAAAAAAAGAAAACCTTCTACTGCTTTCATTTTTAATCAGCCGATTGCAAAACTCATTGATGTCTTCTCCTCCAACAATAAAAAAATGTTACATTTAATTAGTGAAAGATAATAAATTAAAAGACTTTACTTTTACTTCAGCTACATATTTTCCTAATTGATTGTAATAAATAACTTGCAGTTTAGGTCCAGTAAATATTTTTACAAATTGTACAAATTAAAAAATTTATTAAAACATTTTTATTTATTTAAGTAGCGAACTTTCTAAAAAATGAATAAGAATCTTATTAAAAAAAAATGTTTTTACTTCTCAATAAATTATTAACTTTATTTAAAAAAGATGATGCGAAACGCTTATGTTTGAATTTACTTTGAGGATTATGTTTGAATTTACTTATGTTTGAATTTACTTATGTTTGAAAATACTTTGAGGCAAATTCGAAATATAATAAATAAGGTGAAAACTAAACCCGTTTGAGATGTGACAATTGAACCTGGTTTACTATTTTACAATTAAATGCCTGGTTTTTATAAAACAATTTTTTTAATAATCTATAATATTAAGAATGCATTTAAATGTAAATATTTAATTAAATATTAAAAGTAAATAATTTGAAATTGAAATTCTTTATGAAAACCAGAAACTTTTGGATTTTTTTGAAATACATTTTGTTGTTTGTTAATTTTATAAGTTTGTTAACAAAATTTCCTAAAAACTTATGTTATAATTTTATTATTATAAATGGAACAAAATTATTATATATTTGTAAAATTTTTAATCATTTACTTAGATGTTGCTCAGGGATACCAGAGGTTGCATCGAACAACGTGAGCAGTTTGTTATAAATGGGTGCAAACAAAAATAAATGATTAAATTATTTAAAAATAAATTCAGTTCCGGGCACAAAGATGCTAGATATATTGGACACTATTCATCTCAAAATCTTTTTTATTTTTTTGCGAATTTTTTCGAACTATTTTCATCTTGTTTTGTTAATTAAAAAATGCGCGGTTAATGGTATAAATAAAGAACAATGTTATTTATTTATAGAAACTTGCTTATTTTTTTTTTATCTTTCTCATACTAGTTTTAAAAAAATTATTTTTACTTAAAAAACATTTTCTTTTTGATAAAAAAAGTAGAGGTGAGTGAGGAGAAGTGGGAAGTAGGACAAGTAGCACTTTTCAAACGTTCCAATTAAGAGAGGGTTCTTATCTATGATATCTAATACAAAATTTCTTCGCTTCTATTTGACAGAGATTGCTTTGTCTCCCTGCGTGTAATAAAATCACATTTTCAAAAAAATCACCCCAAATACGATTTTTTTGAGGGGCAAAGTGGACGAAGAATAATTATCTTAAAAAATAAACCAAACTCGTGTTTATCCCATATCGTTTTTGTATAATTATATTGTGGAAATAGCTTGAATATTTTAAAGATGATCACGTGGTTTACGATTTTAATAATTTTTAATTATTAAATGGGAATGAAATTAGCCCAAATTTTTATTTTTTATTTTTTTGTTTTTTTTTCTAAAAACTTGCTTGGTGCAGAACATAAATTATATAAAAAATATAATGAAATTATTCTTGCAAAAGCAAAACAAAACAATTAGTGATGCAAAAGTGATTTATTTTAAAAAAGATCGCTGTAGAAAATTCACAAATGAATTTTATCAAATTATTAATTATACAAGTTACTGAGATAAAAGTTTTGTTTTAATATATTTTATTAAAATTGAAATCTTATTTTAAGTTATTTAATTTTTAAAATTATATTATAGTTATTATAGCTACTATATAGTAAATTTCAATTTCAAACTTGTTTCGTAACATGCTTAGTAGTTATTTCATTGTGAAGGTTTTTCATGCATAGTAGTATGGTATTTGATTGTGAAAGTTTTTCATGCTTAGTAGTATGGTATTTCATTTTGGAGGTTTCTTATGCTTAGTAGTATGGTATTTGAAATACCATACTAATAAGCATGAAAAACCTTCAAAATGAACTACGATTTCATTTTGGAGGTTTTTCATGCTTAGTCTAATGTTGTTTTATATCCGAGGTTTTTCATGTTTAATCTAATGTTATTTTATTTCCGAGGTTTTTCATGCTTAATCTAATGTTGTTTTATTTCCGAGGTTTTTCATGCCAAGTAGCATGTTATTTCGTTCTGTAATTTGATATATCGTAATATCATTGAAATTGTTATTACTAATGGCAATAAATATCTAAATACAACTGTTATTATATATGAATAATATTAATAATATTTATATTTCTGCAACATTGAAAATAAAAATGCAAGGTAAAGTTTCTGAAATCCTACTATAGCATTAAAATAGTTTAGTTAACGATAAACTCTAGTATTTAACGATAAACTCTAGAATTTATTTTTAGTTTATATTTTTAAAACTACTAAATCGTCAAGTAGCTAGTTCTGTTGCTAAAGAAGTTTTCGCGGTAACTGTTTTTAGTGAGTTGCTTGTGTTCCTTGCGTCTTTCTCTTCTGATACTTGATGATGGTCAAGTTAGTAATAAAACTATTTGATTAGAGTTAAATAATTTAACTTTGTTTATGTTGGTATTACAAAAATTCATTATGAGATCGGCTCTTAACTTTCTCTAACAAACGTTTTTCAAAAAACGTCATATGATCATATGACTTGTGGCTCTTCATTGAACTTTTTTAAGTTTTTTAATTTTATTTTTTGTATGTGAATTTCAGACTGGGCACATTAACTCAGTGGGCACGGGACCTAAATAAGATGTCTTTTGAACGTTCAAAAGACGTCCAAAACGTTCAAAAAACGTCTTAAACGTTTATAAGACTTTTAAAAACGTCTTTTTTACGTCCCGTGCCAACTGGGAATTTAATTCGGTTCTGACAAAATTTGTATTTGTAAAATTGTAAAATTTAGGAAATGATTAAGTGGATCAATACTTAAATGTAAGCTTCAATATGTTTAGTGTAAGCTTTAGTTTTTGTCATTGTCGTGTGGTCTTTCTATATGAGGTACTAATGTTGATACTTATTTATTAGGAATTACAATTTTCCGGATTTTTTGCTGTCCCGGGATAACGGGTTTGATTTATAGTATCCCGGAGTCCAAGGAAAATCCCGGTAATGTACATTTAAATAAAATATAAACAAATAAATTTTGTTAATTTTATTTTTAATAATCTTTTTATGATTAAAAGTTTTAGAAAAAACTTTTAAAACACTAAAAGTGACCTCTTAGAAAACTAGTGCATCCAGATAACTGTCTGATAATCTAGTTTCAAAATTTGTAAAAAATAAACGGTCCAAACGGTCGGATAATTAAAAGTTCATTATAAAGCATATCTACATTATGTGACCTTTTGTTCGTTGCTTCAAACATATTGAATTCTTGACGCAGAGTTGATTAATTACAATTAACTACAAAATTGCTTTTTTTCTCACAAACATTTTTAATATTTTAACCATAGATTCCAATGATTTTTCTAAACTGAACTTATCATTAACCATAGCATTGTTAAGGTTACCATTATTATTAATTTTATCTCGTACTTTAGGCATATTTTCAAATATGGGGAAAAACCTCTCAGTTAATTCAATAGCTATACTTACAGTCTCTGTTTTAGATGGTATCCAAAATTAAGTTACTCTAAATATCACTTTTTAAAAACAGTGGATTATCTAAAAACCTTAATAAACCAACAAGATCGCAGATTGCTTCTCCTTTTTTTACATATATTTCCAACTGTTGCTAGGTAATAAAGCATTCTTAAGATTTTTTGCTAAACAGCAATCTTGAACGAGGCTGGCGCGATAGGGGGGTGACACCCCCCTCATCAATGGTGACACCCCCCATCAATGATTTTTAGTCGGCAAACTGGACCCTTAGTCGGCAAATCGGACCTTTTTAGACTAGTTAGTCGGCAAATGTCGACCCTTTCGATATAGGTTAGACAGTCGGCAAATGTCGTAATGACAGTGGGCAAATTTTGGAAAACGAGGACCTTTTTTTTTTTTTTTTTTAGTCGGCAAAAGTTGTAATGGCACCCCCCACGTGACACCTACTCGCGCCGGCCCTGATCTTGAACATAAAGTTTTGTAACAACAAATTTTAATGTTTCAGCAGGTGTTCTCTTCTACAAATCATTTTAGAACATAAAACAATTAAAAGATTTTTGCTAAAATTTCAATTACTTTAACCTAATGTTAATGATTTGTTATTAAAATCAATGAGTGCCAAAAAAAATCCCGGAAAACATTTTCATGGATTTCGGAATTTCGATTTATAATTTTTCTCGGGAATTTCCCAGGAACAAGTACCCGACAACAATCCCTACTAATAATGTGATATTTGTTGTTTTTTCTCCTCTTTATGTGGGTTTCCTAAATTTTCCACTAATCTGGTTGAAGTAGATTTCTTAATATCCACTTCAACTAAACTAATGAAAGAATCAAGATTTTTTCTTATTCTAGGTTTCAAACAAACCTAACCCACATCAATCCAGTTTCTTTAGACATAATCCGACTGTGGAACAGCAACATTAATCCTGAAAGTGCATTATTATATTGTTTACGAAAGAATTACTGAAGAGTTGCTGTTTACGAAAGAATTGCTAAAGAATTTACCGAAAGAGTTATTTACTTTATTATTTACATTTTTATGTCGTTTTCTTGAGTTCATGGGGTTCAATATTTTGATAATTAGTTACGCACGCTTCATTACAATAATGAACAAACCTAATGAAGCAACATTTAATGAATGAACCTAATGAAAGAACTTGTAAGACGAATAAAATCAGATGAGGTTTACAATTTTAGATTAAAGATAAAATAATAAGAATAAGGCAGGGGAGAGTAGAGAAATGGGAAACACGGGGTAACTCCAAAAATGGTCAAAACGGCATAATAAAAAATGTTATTTGACATCTTTTTGCTTAATGAGAAAGGATCCCATGCTTAGTTTCAGATGTGCAGAGTGAAGTGAAGTGTAACGACTCAATATAAAAACTTTTGTTGTTGTTGTTGCATATTCCTGTCGATTTGTTGTTATGGTTGCATTTTGTAGTTTTTGCTCTTAATTTTATCAATTAGCATTTTATTTTTTATTACGCAAGGTAATTCTGAAAATTGTTTTTGAGGGCTTGTGAATGAATAGTTAGACGTGCAAC